CCGCTCCCCCCCCTTTCCCCCCCGCTCCTTCACGCCCCCCTCGCTTTTCCCCCCTCTCAGTTCTTTTCCACTCCTCCTCCTCCTCCTCACCCCCACTGCAGCGCCGGCCTCCCCCCGCCTCGCCGCCCCCCGCGGTGTCCGTGACAGACAGCGGGTTACCCGTCTGCGGGCAGGGCCAGCGCGGCCTGCACCGGCCTCCTGTCGGGCGGCCAGGGGCTCCCGCGGCGCTCGACCGCAGTGACTGAAATAAACCGGGCCGGGGGGTCTGCAGGCCCCAGCCCAACCCAGAGCCCGCCGCAGGCAGGGGAGCAGCCATTTATCAGGGCTAAACTGCACGCAGGTGAGGGAGCCCACCTCAGCGTGAAGCCTAGCAGTGGGCCCCGCTGTCCCTTGGCCCTTCCACCCCTTTCCAGGATGGCACTGCTCTTGCCAGGTAGCTGGCGTCCCTCCCTCTTCCCTACCTTCCAGAACCTCTAGTTTCTATTCACTTCCATTTTTAAAGTCACCACACGACAGGAATATTGTGACACAATATTTAAGGGTGATTTGAGAGAGAGGACTGATGTACTGAACTCACTGCCACTTTGCAGATGGGAAAACTGGAAGAATACAAGTTTCATGCTGCTGCCTCATCCAGCGTGCAGTCTCTGAGAACTTATGTCTTGAATACAATTCTGTGACAAATAGCAATATATTTCATTTCAATTGTGGAAATATCTCGGTTGCAAGATTGGAAAACATTTTTCCCCCTATTGTTTCCCCATCTTTCACAAGCATTTCCCATCATTTTAAATGTTTCCCAGAGAAAGCACACACTTTCAATGCCAAGACTGAGCCCAAGGGAATTTTTTCAGATGAGTTTGATTGACCAACAACGATAAAAAGACACACCTACACAAAGCTTCTACAGAAAAGTGAAATAAACTTTCATCAGGATCAGGAAGGCCAAGGTTTGGCTGGAGAAGGGCTTCTACAGGTACAACAACCAGAAAAGGAAGGTTAAAGAAAGCGTACCCCCTCTGATGAGCAGAAGTGGCAAGCTGGTAACAACAGACGAGGAGAAGGCTGAGGTACTCAACAACTTTTTTGCCTCAGTCTTCATTGACAACCTCTCTTCTC